AAAAAAAAAAAAGTATAGTAATTAAAACAGTAGGGCATGGATGAATAGACCAAGATATTGAATAGAGAATTGATCCCAGCCCTAAAGGAAATGTAACTAGGGAAGATCTGGCATTGCAGATTAGCTGGGAAATATGAACTATTAAATAAATAATGTTGTGATAACTGGTTATGCATATTAAAAAAAGAAATTGAACTCCTATCTTAATCCACTTAAAAAATTGATTCCTGGGGTGCCTGGGTGGCTCAGTCAGTCAAGCATCTGCCTTCGGTTCCGGTCATGATCTCAGGGTCCTGGGACCAAGCCCCACATTGGGCTCTCTGCTCAGCAGGGAGTCTGCTTCTCTCTTACTCTCTCTCTCAACTAAATAAATAAGATCTTTAAAAAAATTGATTCCTAGTGACAAATGTAAAAAGTAAAATTATAACACTTTTATTTCTTTATTTTTTGTAAAGATTTTATTTATTTGATGCAGAGAGAGAGAGAGCACAAGCAGAGGGAGTGGCAGGCAGAGGGGGAGGGAGAAGCAGTCTCCCCGCTGAGCAGGGAGCCCGATGCGGGGCTTGATCCCAGGACCCTGGGATCATGACCTGAGCTGAAGGCAGTCGCTTATCCAACTGAGCCACCCAGGCACCCCGACATTATAACACTTTTAGAAGAAAATATAAAATAACATCTTTTAACACTGGAGAGAGGAAGAATTTCTTAAGCAACACATCAGAAGTGCAAAAAATAAATAGGCTGATAAATTGGTAAAATTATGAATTTTTTTTAAAGATTTTATTTATTTATTTGAGAGAGAGAGAATGAGAGATAGAGAGCACGAGAGGGAAGAGGGTCCAAGGGAGAAGCAGACTCCCCGCCGAGCAGGGAGCCCGATGCAGGACGCGATCCTGGGACTCCAGGATCATGACCTGAGCCGAAGGCAGTCGCCCAACCAACTGAGCCACCCAGGCGCCCCAAGCCTGTTTACTTCTGATCGTAAATTGAGACCCAATAGGAAAACAGCCTTTTTTTTGCTGGGGGCGGGGGACTGCCTGGGGTTGGAGAGCTGGCCGGCCCAGCCCCTCAGAGGCTGTCCCCTCTCTGCAGGGTGAGGAGGTCCTCCGGCAGCTGCAGACCCTGGCACCTCAAGGTGTGAAGGTCCGCATTACTGTGAGCAAGCCCAATGGGCCCCAGCCACAGGCCGACCTGCAGGCACTGCTGCAAAGTGGTGAGCTAGGGGGGCGGCCGGGGGTGGGCTGGGCCCAGGGCTGCCCGCACCAGCTCCTGACGAGCTGTTTGTTACAGGTGCCCAGGTGCGCATGGTGGATATGCAGAAGCTGACCCATGGCGTCCTGCACAGCAAGTTCTGGGTGGTGGACCAGACCCACTTCTATATCGGCAGTGCCAACATGGACTGGCGCTCCCTGACCCAGGTCTGCCTGAACCCTGCCCACCCGCCCTCCCTGGAGGCTCCCTAACCCCCGGGACCCCCAGCCTCCAACCACACCCCTCTTCAGTCCCAGAGTCTTAGTCTCTGCAGTGGCTTCATTCCTACCTCCAGCATGGGCTGGGCTGCCCACCATGGGCTGGCTCATTGCTGCCTCCTTCCCCCCCCACACCCACAGAAAGCCCGTTGGGTCCTGCTGGTCCTCATCCTGGCGGCTGTGGGCTTCGGTGCCCCGATGACTCAGCTGTTTCTATGGGAATACGGCGACTTGCATCTCTTTGGGGTGCATCCCCCAAATCCAGCCCTCACTGCCTCCCCCCTGCTCCTGGAAGCCCGGGGTTTGCTCTGATCCCTGATGACAGCCACCAGCCCCTCTGCAGGGCATTCAAGGCCCTGTCCACCGGTTGGCCCTTCATTATTCAGTTCCTTGAGTGCCTGCTCTAAGCCCAGGCCTGTCCTGGGTCCTGCTGGGAACGTGGTGGTAAGCGATGGATCCCTGGGAACCACCAGTCCGGTGCAGTGACAGGCTGGTCACCGGGCAGTGGCAGCCCAGAGGATCAGGATGGGGGACCCAGGCCAGAGTTTCAGGGAAGGTCTTCCAAAGGAGGTGACAATTCACATGACACCTGAAGGATCCGCCAGGATTAGCACAAGACAGGAAAGAAGGAACAGCTTAGGCAGTGATCATTTATTGACTCAACAAATATTTCCCAAGCCCCTAATCTTACCAACTCTTGTGAGGAAATGCTGAAGACAAAGCCATGGCTGAGACATCCCCAGTGCCTGTTTTCACAGTCCAGTGTCACCAGAGAGAGAAATGAGGGAAGGCCAAGGGACCGTGAAAGCCCAGAGGAATGCCTGACACAGTCGGGGCAGTCAAGAGAGGCTTCCTGGAGGAGGAGGCTGTCAGCCGAGACCTAGGAATGAGTAGGAGCTTGTTCTGTGGAGGGTAGAAGCAATAGCTTCCGCAAAGGTTCAGGAAACCTGGCTCTTTGGAAAAACCAAATGACTTTTACCAAAACTTGGCCAGGTTTTAGCCTCGAGTCAAGTTCACACCCATCCCAGGACTTCGGTTCCGGTGGTAGTGGCAGGGGGTGGGGGGATGGGAGACTGAGGCGCCAGAGACAGGAAGCGGGGAGGGGGGCCGTGGGTGTTCATGTCACCCATGGGCACCAGGCCACCACCCCAAGGCTCAGCACCGCCCTCCCACAGGTCAAGGAGCTGGGAGTGGTCATGTACAACTGCAGCTGCCTAGCTCGGGACCTGACCAAGATCTTCGAGGCCTACTGGTACCTGGGCCAGGCGGGCAGCTCCATCCCGGCCACCTGGCCCCGGCCCTATGATACCCGCTACAATCAAGAGACACCCATGGAGATCTGTCTCAATGGAACCCCTGCTCTAGCCTACCTGGCGGTGAGTCTTAGGGAGGAGGGGCCGGGTCACTCACAGTCTCTGTCCAGCCCTGCCCGGTGATGGGGTGGGGGGAGGGTCCCGACCACTCACCCCCACTCACTCTGCTTGGTCTGGGGCTGGGGCTATGTCCCAACCTCCCCAGGCCTGGGTTTCCTCCCCACAGTGGCGATAATGATGAGCAACCTTAACGGCTAATGGGGAAGTCCGGCCAGGGTTTATGCACGCTGAGCCCCTAGTGAAGCCCTGCACTGTCTGGTATAGCTGCATTCGGCTCTTTTCATTTTAAGTCAGTTAAAATTAAATATCACTAAAAGTTCAGTTCCTGAATTGCACTGGCCCACATTGCAGGTGCTCGGTAGGCCCAGGGAGCAAACGGCTGCCGTGCTGTGCAGTTATAGAACGTTTCTATCACCGTGGAAAGTTCTCTTGCCCTGTAGACAAGGCGCTGCTGTTTGCAGCTCTTGATATTGCCCCTGCTTGGGGTGGCCAATCTGCGTTCCCTTCTGTCCCCCCCAAGCGAGTCACCTGGCCAAGCCCAGAGTCATTGTGGAGGGCCCCAGAAAGGCATGAATGCAGGGACGCATGACTCATTGGGGTGTTTTGCTTCAGTGGTTTGGCACAGAACATTAAGGGTTCCCCCATGGTCACTTCCCCTTCAGAGCTTGAGTTTGCTCATCTGTCACGGGGATGGAGGGTAAAGGGCCTGGTGTCAAAGGAGTGCCATTCGGGTGGGCTGTGAGGAAGTCGGGGACACAGGTAATCACAGGAGAGGTGCTTAAACCTGAGCGTGCATCAGAAGCACGGGGAGGGCTGGTTAAAACCCAGATCCCTGAGCCCTACCCCGGCACCCTGGTTCAGTAGGCCCTATGCAATGAAGCCCAAGAATTTGCAAATCTAACAAGCTCCAGGTGACGCTGCCACTGCTGGTCCAGGACCCTTACATCCAGAACCCCTGTGTTAGAGCGTACATTCTGGAACCAAACAGCCTGGATACAAATCCTGGCTCCAATTGTCAGCTGTGTGGCCTTAGGCAAGTCACTCACCCTCTCTGAGCCTCAGCTTCGTCGCCTATAAAATGGACATGGCAATCATCCTCCCCTTCCTGGAGGCTGTAGGATTCAGCGCGACCCACAGGACCTGACTTGAGACAGACTCTCCATACATGGGGTCCGTGGTGATGGCACCCTTGGCAGGGCACATGTCTTGACTGTCCCCTCACCCCCCAGAGTGCACCCCCACCACTGTGTCCCAGTGGCCGCACCCCGGATCTGAAGGCCCTGCTCAACGTGGTGGATAATGCCCGGAGTTTCATCTACGTCGCGGTCATGAACTACCTGCCCACCATGGAGTTCTCCCACCCGCGCAGGTATGGCTGCCTCACGGACAGGGCTTGGGGTAGGGACCCACCATGAGTGGGAGGGGGAGTGACGAGGCCAGAAAATAGGCAAGGGGACAAGGCAAAGGGACAGATGGCGGGAAGCCACAGGGAGAGGTAGAAGAGACGGAGAGGGGGTCTAAACACTCGAGACAGAGGAAGTAGGGACAGAGAAAAAGATGGGAATCCTGAGGGTGGGAGCGGGGCAGGGGACTAGAGGCCGGAGGCCTGGGGTGTGGGGTTTCCCGAGTTAGGGAGCAGGGTGTATGGGCTGGAGACAGGATGAAGGGCTTGGGGGCAGGAATGGAAGCCAGAGATAGGGCGGTCTTGGGGTTTAAGGGTGCCTCGAAGCTCAGGGTCAGGCCATAGGTAAAGCTGCCCTCCGAATCCGGCACCCCTGTCCCCGAACCCCAAGGTTCTGGCCTGCCATTGACGATGGGCTGCGGCGGGCTGCCTATGAGCGGGGCGTCAAGGTGCGCCTGCTGATCAGCTGCTGGGGACACTCTGAGCCGTCCATGCGGGCCTTCCTGCTCTCCCTGGCTGCCCTGCATGACAACCACACCCACTCCGATATCCAGGTGGTAAGCACCCACCCCAGACCCGCCCCTCAGCCCCAGTGCAGGGCGATGCCCAAGGCACAGTCCTCATGGAGCTCACCTGTCACCTGACAGGGCTGACTCCGAGGGACAGGGCCCTGCCATGATGGGGAGACCCTGAGGCGGGCCAGGATGGCGGGGCCCAGGCAGAGAGGGGCAGGGCCCAGATGGAGGAGGCATCATGGCCAGGATAGGGGGGCCCAGAGGAAGCCTCTGCCCCAGCCTGCGGGGGGATGGGGGGGCGGTGGTCAAGGAGGACTTTCTGGAAAAGGAGACTTCTGAGGCGAGACCTATGGGACGAGTAGGAACCATACGAGAAGGAATGACAAGTGAGGCAACTGGTCTCCCCTTTCAGCCGGTGTTACTGGTATCCCCTCCACTGGGCCCCGTTCTGCCTCCAGTGGGTCCAGGGGAAGCAGCTGAGTCCCCAGTCCTGCAGACTGGTTCCCCTCCCCAGCCCGGACCCTGGGGCTTCCCCACCCCCACCCTGCAGCTCACGCCCCTTCCCATTCTCCCCTCCCCCGCAGAAACTCTTTGTGGTCCCCGCGGATGAGAGCCAGGCCCGGATCCCATACGCCCGTGTCAACCACAATAAGTACATGGTGACCGAACGGGCCACCTACATTGGTGAGTGTCCCGAGCGCCACCAGGGGGACAGGAGGAGAAGACAAGCACAGCTCTGGGCTCTGACTCTCTGACCCCCCCCCCCCCCAGGAACCTCCAACTGGTCTGGCAGCTACTTCACGGAGACAGCCGGCACCTCGCTGCTTGTGACGCAGAATGGGCGGGGTGGCCTGAGGAGCCAGCTGGAGGCCGTTTTCCTGAGGGACTGGGACTCCCCTTACAGCCATGACCTTGACACCTCAGCCGACAGCGTGGGCAATGCCTGTCGCCTGCTGTGAGGCTCTGGTCCGGCAGCCAGGCCGAGGCCTGCGAGGCCCCCCGGGGACCCAGATATCCTGGGTCCCGGCCCCTGTCCCCCATGCCCCCCGCTTCTGTGTGCCCCATCGTGGCTCACTGGCTCGCCCCTGCTCTACCCACCTCTGTCTCCGTCCCTGCCGGCCTGATGCTGTGGCCCCGGGACCCAGCCCAGCTTGGGGGAGGGATCAGCCCCCGAAGAAATGGGGGTGCATGCTGGGCCCAGCCCCCTGGCCCACCCCCCTTTCCAGGGCAAAGAGGGCTCCAGGTTATAATAAGAAGTAAATCACTTGTCTGTACAACTTGTGCCTGACTGAGTGATATGAAGTGGGGCGTCAGGGTAGGGCACAGCTGACATGCTCCTCTTGGTGACACAGTGTTTGCAGAGCCCTTGGCGTGTTGACCAGTGTGGTTTGGGCTGTCCTGAGCCCACAGCCTGTGCTATGCCCTTAGCATGGATTTGGCATGTGCTGAGCACATAGCATGTGGCTGGCGTGTGCTGAGCCCCAAGGGTGCAGTGCACATGAGCCAGGATGTGCTGAGCGTGTAGCGCATGACCACATGGGCTGGCGGGAGCTGAGCCTTACGTAGCCAGCATAGGGTAGTGTGTGCTATACATCTAGCATGTTCCCAGACGGGCACACTCTGAACCATCACCGGCTCCCAAGGGTGGCCTCGCATGTCCAAACACCCGAGTGTGCACCAAGCATGAATTTATGCCTGCCAAGGGAATTCGCACTTAACCACGACCCAAGCGTGGATGAGGAGGGCATGCCAAGCCCATACACACGGCAAGGGCAGGTCTACAGATGAGACCTTGGCATTTGGCAAGCTCGCATTGGCACCTGCTGAACACGCGAAATGTTCTGAGGGCGGATTCTCTCGTGCCAAGCACTTAGCATATTTAGGGGATGGGTCAGCCTGTCCCTCGCAGGAACCAGCTGAGCACAGCAGCATTGGAGAGCAGGGCCCCGGGCGCCAAACTGAACCCCACCCCAGCTCCAGTCCAGGCCTCAAGCAGAGCTGCTCGACAGTTCTTTATTGAAATAGGCAGAGGCAGCAGGGCCGAGGGCATGCTCAGGGCCAGTGGGGGCAGCCCCCTTCCTGTGTCCCTTTGCCCCCCCCCCAGGGAGGGGGCCCACAGGCCAGACCCCAAGGCCCTCCTGCATTCAGGGGGTTGTGTGCTGGCATGCACCATGGGAAAGGGTAATGGGAAATTGCTGGATAACTATCTTTCTGTAAGAATAATACGTGGGTTCAGGAAATGGCTTCTGAGGAAGGGATACCAGCCCAGCTAGCGCAGCCCCTAGTGATGGGCAGGGGTGGGGTCACCATCAGTGGTGCCCACCGACGTGCTGCAGAAAGCTGGTGGCCCGGGGCAGACCGTGCGGGTGAGCGTGCCGGGGTGGGAGCCCCTGAGCACATGGCCCCCTGACACCCTCCAGGGTCCAGTCTGGCTCACTCAGCCATTCCCCAGGGCAGCTGCTGGGGTCGAAGAGCTCAGAGCCCGGCCTCTGTTGGGGAGGAGAAGAAAGGACCATCAGCCAAGGAGCGCCCGGCCAGCCCCTCCTGGACTTTGTCCAGTCCCAACTGAACCCTTGTGACTTCCCGAGGGTGATTTTATAGGTCCCGAATCCTCATCGCAACTTGGGGGCTCAAACAGTGTGTGCAGAGACCTCAATGTGCTCTGAGGGACTATTAGTGTCTCTGAAGCTTTGTCACTTCTTCCTGAGGATGGGTGAGCACCTGCTAAGGCCTTGTTCTGAGTGTTGGGCCTTTATCACTTCCTATAGGTGGATTAAGGCGTTCTGAGTTTCTATACAGCCTGAAGGTGGATTAGTATGTGCTGAGCCTCATCACATCATAAGAGTAGGTTAGTGTGTGCTGAGCCTTATATCCTGAATATGGGTGTGTGCTGAGCCTTACATCCTGAAGTGATCAGTGTGTACTGAGCCTTATCACCTTGTAAGGGTGGGTTAGTGTGTGCTGAATGTTACATCCTGAATACAGGTTAGCGTACGCTGAGCGGTATCAAATCCTAATCATATCCTGAATGTGGGTTAGTGTTTGCTGAACCTTGTCACATCCTGAGAGTGGACTAGTATGTGTTGAACCCTGAGCCAGCTGCAGGCAATGCAGATTTGGGGGTGGGGGGGAGGGAGGGCCAGGCCTGGTTCACTGTACCCCGCCATCCTGGAGCTCGGGGAGGCCCTGATCCCAGAACCACCCGCGCCCCAGCCAGCCCACCGGGCTTACATCAGCATCCATGGTCATATCCTTCATGTCTGGTCCATCCCCATCCCGCTGCGGGAGGGTGGGTGGCTCTGCGGAGGCCCCGCGGCGCTCTCCTTCTGCCCAGCCGCTGCCCCGGCACGGTCCATCATCCTCAGGGGAGGCCTGGCTCAGCCGGATGAGGTTGCTGAAGTTGGAGTCAGACTTGGAGCCCGCGGGTGGCTTGCGGGCCTTGTGGCGGCCTGCCAGGCGGCTGCCATAGAAAGCCAGGATGGGCTCGGGGCCTGAGTCGGGCATGCGGCGGCCCGCGGCAGCGGCTTTGAGGGGGGCCAGCATGTCAGGCACCACGTCGGCTCGGCTCTCACCCCACAGCCCCCGCCCCACCTCCTGCAGACTCAGGTCGTCCAGCTGGTCAATGGCCCTTTGCATGCCCGGCGCCTTCTCCTCGCAGAAGAAGGGCCCGCTGCCCACCACACCGCCCATGCCCACGGCCTCCTCCTCCTCAGCCAGACGGTAGTAGGGGGGCCCGTCTTCCGCCGCAGCTGCCACCGGCGTGGGCAGCTTGCCCTCCACCTGCAGCGAGAGGCGGCAGCCACGAAGCGAGAGCTGGTAATAGCGGGTAGTCTCGTGGGCGCTGCGCAGCTGCTGCATGGACACGAAGGGGTGGCACAGGGCAGCGCTGGGGCTGATGCGCTCATGCGACTCCCACGTCAGCATGCGCTTGATCAGCTCGACCATGCTCTTGAGGTCGGCGTGCTCCGCCAGCGCCTCGCGGTCCGCGAAGGGCAGCCGACTGGCCGCCCCGCCACCGTTCACCGTCTCAATCTGGTCCAGTGACTTGAGCATGTACTTGCGGCGCTCCAGGGGGCGCACCTGGTGGGACACGGTGGGGGCATGGGGTTGACATCGAGTCCGGGCCTTGGGCCTCAGGTGCTCCTGCAGTGGGGCCCACGTATGACCTACTCCCTCTGCCCCCAGCTTCCAGTCTGCCCTCCGGTCTGGTCCAGGGCTCTCTGGTTGCCACGAAGTCCACACACCTGAACCTAGACTTCCAGTTCTGCCCATGATCTGACTTGGAACTCTCTTGCTGTGGGGAAAGCCCCTCTAGTCCGACCCAGAGCCCTCCTACTGCTGCAGGAAACGTACCAGATTGGGTTCTTTGGTCCTCCTGCCATCTCACCCAGAGTCTCACTGAGCCAAGTTTCACTTCTCCCCCAGACCTCCGGGCCTCCCCAGAGCCATGGCTCCAGCCCCTACCAGCTGCTAGCAGAGGAGCTGTCCTCAACCTCTAGTCCCCCTTGGAGTCAAATCCAGATCCCTCTTGCTCCTGCAGCCTCCACCCCCAAGCCCAGCCCACCAGGCCTCCCAGCTTGCTTGCTATGCGAGCTTGCCGAGCCCTTGCCATGAAACTCAGAGGAGCTACCATGTACTTCCAGTGTCACCTGGGGTCTCACCCACATCTCTCTTGCTGTGACTTGCTGTGATTTGAGCTGACCCTCAAACTTCCGGCCCTCTCTGAGGTCTAGCCCAGATCTTGTCGATGTAGCAGCCCCCACATCGCCCGCCCTCCCCTACCTTGGTCTCAGCCAGGTAGTCGGCCGAGGACTTGAGCTGCCAAGGGTTGCCGGCATCGGGGTGGGGGTTGCGCTTGAAGAAGTGGTGGGCCTTGCGGGCGGCGTGCAGCAGGTGGGGCTTGGGCAAGCCCTGCGTCTCACAGATGTAGCGCACCTGGTCGTACTCGTTGTTGCCCGGGTAAAGGGGCCAGCCCAGGTGCAGCTCGGCCATGACACAGCCCAGTGACCACACATCCACCTTCTCGCAGAAGGGCAGCCCCAGCAGAATCTCGGGGGCCCGGTAGAAGCGCGACTGAATGTATGGCTCCTTGACATAGCGCACCTCGCTGAAAATGCTGGCTGAGCCAAAGTCAATCACCTGTCGGGGCAGGGCAGGGGACAGACACAACCAATCTAGGTCTCCCCTGTGGCTCTCGCCTGTGTCTCTCTGCACCTGCTATCTGACTGTCGCTGTGTCTGTGAATCTTTATCTCTATTTTATGTGCCTGTGTTCGCCCGTCTTAGTCTCTGGTTTTGTGTTTGTCTCTGTTTCGTTCCACTAGGACTTATGCCTGTGAGGTTTAGGACCCCTCTCTTTGTCTTTCATGCCACACCTCGCCCATCAGCAAATGTTGTCGGCTCCACCTTCTGAACAGATCCAGACTCGGCCCCCTCTGCGTCCCGGGCTCGGCTCCCCCCGCGCTGCCCCGTCCTCCATCATCTTTCACCGAGGCTGATGGAGGGGCCTCCTCGCTCGTCTCCCTGCTCCTCCCCTCTGTGCCCCAGTCTGCTCATCATACAGACCCCCTGAGGCATCCTGTGATAAAAGCCAACGTCCTCACTGTGGCCCCCAAGGCTCGAGCAATCTGCCCCATCACCTCTCTGCCTTCAGCGCCTCCTGCTTTCCCTCTCACAGGTGTCCCACTGTCCCTTGAGCAAGCCAGATGCATTCCCAGCTCAGGGCCTTTGCACTGGCCATTCCCTCTGTCTGGCATGCTCTTCCCCCAGGTGTCCACACGGCTCCCTCATCTCAGGTCTCAAATGTCACCTTCTCAGTGGAGGGGACCTCCCTTGGCCATCCTATGAAAAACAGCCTCCCCCGCTGTTCCTATCCCCCTTCCTGGCTCCCTGCTTTTCTCCAGAACTCTTAACACCATTTCACATCCTATATATTTTACCTTTTAGTCGAGGTCATTGTCTACCCAGCTAGGATGCCAGTCCCATCAGGGTAGGGATTTTGTCCGTTCGTTGCTCATCCCTAGCCACCGAGAACAGTGCCCAGCACACAGCTAGGGGCTCAGTCAGGAATGAGTGAATGAGTGAATGAATGAATGAGTGAATGAATGAATGAATGGGCTTGTATGTCCCTGCCATTCTGCTTCCTTCTGCCTCTTTTTTTATATCCGTCTCGTTCTTTCTTTGCCTCTTCATTGCTTGGCTGTTCATTGTGTCTCTCACTCAACTCTCTGTGTCTCTCTCCGTCTCCATCCCTGGGTCACCTGCTAGGAAGACACCTCCCTGAAGCCCGTTCTGTTCCGTCTTCATCATCAGGTACCTTGGACACCCCTCACAGCCCCCCACCCCGCAGCTCCCAGGACGGGGCTTGATGAACACCCACTGCTCTAGTGCTGGGGACGGTTGAAAGTCTTTTCTCTCCCCATGCTGCTGGGAGGCGCCCTGTGCCACTTTCACTCTGAATCTCCAAGACTCTATCTTGATCCCTGCCTCAGTTTCCCCCCTCTGAGTTTCTCTGCTTTTCGTTCAGCCATCCCTCACCTTCTATTTGCAGAAGGTGGTACGATGGAAGGGTTATCAACCTGCACTCTGAGTGCGGACGGCTGAGGCCTGAATCTCAGAGCGTGAGGGACCCAGGGCACTCAGTGTTCACGGGATCCAGTCATTCATTCATTCCACAGACACAGGATGGGGGCCAGCGCCGGCCAGGTGTTGTGGATCTGTCCTGTGTGTTTGTGGGAGTCTCTCCTTCCTTCGGGCTCTGTCCTTCCATCTCTTAGGGCAAAATGATCTGCCTTTTCCTGCCTGCCTATCTCCCTGTGACTCTGACATTCATTTAGCATTGACCCCTCCTCAGCACTGTGCTGGGAGATGCCAAGGACACAGTGGTGACCAAAACTGACCAGGCCTTGACTTCATAGCCCCGCCTGCTCCTAGTTTGGACCCTTCACCAGACAGTAACAAGCCCAGAAGTGGACAGAGGGGCCAGGTCTGGGACTGGGGGACAGAGGGAGGAGGGGTCCTGAGTGAAGGGGCCAGGCCTGGGACTGGGGGTCACAGGCAGGGGTCCAGGGCTGAGATAGGGGGCCCAGGGGCTTGTGACATGCATGGGAGGTGCTTCTGTGTGCCCAGCACAGGGTCAGGTCCAGAGTGGGTCTTCAGTAAGTGTTTGTTTTTTGTTTAAAGATTTTATTTATTCATTTGAGAGAGAGAGAGAGCACAAGCAGGGGAGAGGCAGAGGGAGAGGGAGAAGTAGACTCCCCGCTGAGCCAGGAGCCCGACATGGGGCTCGATCCCAGGACCCTGGGATCATGACCTGAGCCAAAGGCAGACGCTTAACCATCTGAGCCACCCAGGCGCCCCAGTAAATGTTTTTGTTGTTGTTGTTTTGTTTTGTTTTTTAAGATTTTATTTATTTATTTATTTGACACAGAGAGAGACAGCGAGAGAGGGAACACAAGCAGGGGGAGTGGGAGAGGGAGAAGCAGGCTTCCCGCCGAGCAGGGAGCCTGATGCGGGGCTCGATCCCAGGACCCTGGGATCATGACCTGAGCTGAAGGCAGTCGCTTAACCAACTGAGCCACTCAGGTGCCCCCCCGCCCCGTAAATGTTTGTTAATGAACAAACTGTCTGTGATGAAGAATGGCACTTCCATCCTTCCAGTCACTCGGGCCATCAGGCTCTCATCTCCAATCAAGTCCTTTCTTACACCTCACATAAGATCAGTCAGCAAATCCTGTTGTCAGTAGCTCCAAACCTACCTAGAACGCACCTTGTCCCTTCCTCCCACTACCCCGACTCCACCTCCACACCCAGGCCTCCCACCTGGAGCAGAGCGGACACCCCTCACTGCTATCCTGATCCTGCCTCTGGCAGGCTATTGCCCTCATGCCGCCAGACAGACCCTGGGAACACCTGAGCCAGATCACCGCCCCTCTTTGTTCAGAAGCCTCCTGTGGCCCCATCTTACACAGAATAAAACCGGTCCTCATTGTGGCCCACGAGGCCCTGTGTGTCCCAGCCCTGTCACCTCCCTGATCCCATGTCCTTCCTCTTCTCACTCTGCTTCAGCCACCCTGGCTTCCTGGCTGCTTCGCAAACATATATAATTAGATCACTCCTACCTCAGGGCCTTTGCACTAACAGTTCCTTCTACCCAGATGCTTTTCCCCAGATGTCTACATGGCGACCTCCTTCCTTTGGGACTTTCCTCAAATGTCACCTTCTCAGTGAAGCCTCCCTGACCGACGTGTCTACAATTTCACTCACTACTACCACCACCAATCAACGCCCCACGTCCTCCTCTGCCCTGCTTTATCTTTTCTCCTTCTCACTCACATACCCCATTTGACTCATTTATCTTGGCGACTCTGTTTCCCCCACTAGAATGTCAGCCCCACATAGACAGGACTGGGCCAGAGAAGCTGAACTATGAATTGGAGAAGGAGCGGGGAGGTCTCAGGTCCAGGACAGGGAATGTCAGAATCGGGACAGGGAGATGGGAGGATTTGAGGGCCAGGAGGTGGGGAGAGGCATCATGGGCAGGGAAGGGGAGACCTCAAGCCTGGGAGGTGGGACAAGGGAGACCTTAGCGACAGGAGAGTGTCCAGAGCTGGGGGAAGCTGGGAGAAGACAAGAACGAGGGATGCTGCCATGCCAGGGCCGCCCAACTCACCTTGACCCTGAAGGGGCAGCGGGTCTGGTCCACCAGCATGATGTTCTCGGGCTTGAGATCAGCATGGATGATCGCCAGCTCCTTGAGCCGGGCCAGGGCTCTGAGCACCTGCAGGGTGACCGTGCGGATGTGGCGGGCAGGGAGGGGTGCAAAGTTGTTCTCCTTCTGGAATTCGAAAAGGTTTTGCTCCAGCAGCTCGAAGACCAGGTAGAACTTGAGGGCGTCATGGAAGAACTCGAGGAAGCGGATGACGTGGGCCTCCTCTGGGTCCAGACCCCTCATGCAGCGCAGCAGCTTCAGCTCATTCTTGATGATGCGGTTGCGGTAGGCATCGTTCTTGAGGATCTTGATGGCCACCATCTCGCCCGTGCTTCGCCGCCAGCCCTTGGCCACCTCCCCGAAGGTGCCCTTGCCCAGCACCTCAATGATGTCATAGCAGTCGGTCTCGGACTGGATGGTGGCCATGGTGCCCCTGCCACCGGCCGCAGCACGGCCGCCACCCCTGCCCCACAGGCTCTGCCTTCGAAGCCTTCCGGCCCACCACCGGCTCCGAGGCCCTCCCAGCAGGGGAAAGAGAACCGCACTTGTGCCTCCCGCTTCGAGATTCACCCCCACCTCCCTGGCACCCGCCAGCCCCCTGGGCCACACTGCCAGTCTGCCAGGGGCCACACCCCTCCCCCGAAGCCCTCCTGGCTTGGGACAAGGGGCCCCAGGCCCCCCCAAATGGGTTCCAGCGTTGCTGAGTGGCTCTGGTTCTGTTGTCGGAGACCTGAGCCCCAGGCTGGAATGGGGGGTGGGGTGGCAGGTTGAGCCCCCTCCCCCACCCCAGTGGCAGAACCCCGGAGGGGCTGGACCCAGGTGGAGGGTCGGCTGAGAAGGAAGTCCAATCCTGGATGTCTGGCAGGGAGCACTGGGGCATTCCTAAGCAGAGGTGAAGAGCTTGGGGGATGCGTGCGTGTGTGTGTGCGTGCGTCTGTGTGTGTGCGTGTGTGTGTGCGTGTCCCCGTGTTCGGCAAACACCCGCCCCTGCCTGTGGCTGCCATGGGGGAGGGAGGTGCCGCTGAAGCAGGACCAGGTGGTAAAAGGTCTTGAATGCCAGGCTAAGGAGTTTGGACCCATTTATCTGAGGGCAGTGGGGAGCCACAGAAGGGCTCTGAGCAAGGGAGCACAGGGTCAGATCTAAGGGTCAGAAAGCTACCGTGCGAATAGGAGTGGCAGGGACAAAAGTGGAGGCCCCGAGCCTGGAGCGGGGCCCGGGGGAGGGAGGTTGGGGTGCAGGGGAGGAGGCTGGTGTATGAGACAGGAGGCCAGGAGGCCAGGAGGCCCGGCTGGGGGACTGTCAGGCTGTGGGGGGAAAAGGAAGGAACCATCCAGAACAAGGCCCTGAGCTCAGGGATGGTCCCTGGGACAAGGACGTGGACAAGGAGCACTTTAGGGGAGAAAATGCTGCTGTCAGATTAGGAGATCGAACACTGAAATCTTTGGAGACATGTCTCGAGTGCTTTAGAAGCCTTATCTGATCCTTACACGTAGGTTTTAATAGCTCCACTTTATGGAAGAGAAAATCAAGACACAAAACTGAAAAGAATGCCTAAGGGCACCCAGCTGGGTGCCAGCGACACGCTTTGACCCCAAGCATTCTGGCTCTAGACCCAAGCTCTGGACTGCTGCCACGTCCAGGGGAGGCACACAGGGGGCACTAGATTCCCATGTGGACCACAGGGAGGGTGACCTGGCCTCGGGAGGATGTGGGGAAGGATGAAGGCCTGGGAGGAGTCCTGAGGGCCCAAGGGGCAAGAGGAGAGAGGGCAGGAGTGGGGAAAAGAGAAGAGAGTGTTCAGGAAAGAGGAAGGGACCCCGAGAAGTCAGGACAAGGGAGCCAGGGGAAGCCCTCAGCGTGGCCACAGAGAAATCACTATGGACCCCGACAGGTCAGCCGTGGTGGGAGGGAAACCCTAAATGTTGGGGGGGGGCGGTGCTGGGCAAAGGGTGTGCGCCATAGGTATCAATCATTCCTGCCATATTTGGTGGGGATGAAGAGAAACCATGTGCCCCGGAGGTGACCCGAGGGAGGCCAGCTTTAACGGAGAAGGTGCTGGAGTAAGTCAGGGGTGTGTGACAACTCAAGGGCATGGCGGGGTGTGAGGACGGTGGATGCGCGGGTACGGGGACATTGGGGGGACGCTTGGGACTGGACAGAATGTCTTCTTGGCCCGGCCTGGGGCACTGCAGAGAGACGTGGGGGAGTCTGGAGCTCCTTGGTGGGGGCTTAGATCCTGTGTGGGGCTGGGGCCCTGGGAGCCAAGGCCCAGCCCTGACAGGAGCTGAGGACCCTGGGACCTAGTCCTAAGAGGCAGCCAGGGATCTGGGGTGGAGGCTCTGAACCCTAGAGCCTGGAGAGCGGACCAGGAGGGGCCTTCCTGGGCGGGGCCGGGGCGGACGGGGCAGTCAAACCCGCCAGACAGGAAAGCGATCCCCAGGGTGCGGAGGTGCTCTTGTCGATGAGATGGCCAGCAGAGGGCAGATGGGTAGCAATTGTTCTGCTCTCTCAGGGACCCCCAGGGAGGTCCTAGTGGGAGGGGTTCCCCCAGGACAGGCAGAGAGGCCTCAGCACAGGGGTCTCGCTCAGAGGCCCTGGGGAATTCTGAATGGCTAGGGCAGGCCCCGTCCCACCCGGCCCACTGCGAATCTTCCCGGACTCTCTTCAGACCTGGGGTGGCCTGGTGTCTCCCCTCAACATAGGCTCTCCTCAGGCCAGGCTCAAGTAAGTAGTCCCCCTCCTTGGGGACCTCTTTCCCTGCACCCTCTCTCCACCCTTCCCTGTCCCCCCCGCACCCCACCCCCCCCACAAAACCCAACACAAGGCTACCTCCGGATTATTTTATTCACATGGCTTGGCAAGATACAGGCACTCCTGCCAGGAAGCCGGACATGAGGCCTCCCTGGCCCGGTCCCTGTCTGTCACCCACCTCCCGGCCCGCTGAGGGTTAGTGCTAGTTATCTCACACACAAAACAAAGAGGAGGCGGGGATGGGAAGATGGGAGGGGACTCTCCCTCCGCCCTGCAGCTTTAGACAACTGCAGCCTGAGCCCCCTCCATCCTGGCGGGGCCCGGAGCCCCTGTCTCCGAAAACCCCACGCTGGGCAGCCGGACCCGGAATCCACTCTCTTCCTGGTCCCCGCTCCCACTCCGGGCCTTGGGGCTTAGGGACACCCGGGGGAAGCGGAACTTGGGCGACTTCTCTCCACCAGGGGACTTGGAGGCTGCCTCTCCCTCCTGGCCCCGAGAGGCCTTGGAAGGGGTGGCCAGGCCCACGCGGGGCAAGCGGACCCGGACTCTGCCTCGGCGCCCAGAGGCCCCTTCCCCGCCGCCCTCCTCCTCCTCCTCCTCCTCCTGCTCCTCCGGGCTGGGAGAGCCTTCCTCAGTGACCGCCTCGCTCTGGCTGAAGCCCACTCGGGGCAGCCTGAGTTTGGGGCTCTTGGTCTTCTCAGCCTCCTCAACGCCCTCCTTGGCCCGAACCAGGCCAAACCGGGGCAGCCGCACCTTGAGCTTGTGTCCGGCCTCCCCATCGCCCTCGGCCACCCGGTACTCAGCATGGCTGCCCACGGCGGGCGGCGAGAGCTCCACACCGGGCAGTGAGAGGTGGAAGGTGCGCTCGGCCCCTGAGGACTGGTCTCCGGGCCCCTCTTCCCTGGCCTCAGCTCTGGCCCCCAGCGTGGGCATCTTCAGCCTCAAGCCACCCTCGCCTGTGGCTGCCTCACCCACCTGCGCCTCTCGGCCCAGCCCCACGTCCAGCTCAAGCTGGGGCACTGACACAGCGGGCATCTTGAAGACACCCTCACCTACCAACAGCTCACCACCTGCCACCTGGGCTCCAGGCAGAGACAAGGTCACCTGAGGCACCTGGACCCTATAGCCTGCCGTGCCCTCTGCTGACGGGGCTGCACCCTTGACCTGCTGCCCAGCGGTGGTGCCCAGGCCGGCCTCCCCGAAGCTAGGCAGCTCTACCTGGGGCAGGGAGATGCCCAGGGGCATCCTCAACGCCCCCTCCTGGCCCTCAGTGCCTGCCGGCCTGGTCACGGACACTTGCGGGCCTGAGAGCCGTACTCCACCGACAGCCACCGCCCCCTCGGCCCTCCCTTCCTCCTGGGCCCCCAGTGTGACCAGCTCCACCTCAGGGATCTTAAGCTGCCCAGCCACGGACTCTGGCTTTTCTCCCGGGCTGACACGCCCACCCTGGAATTCAGCTTCCTTTCCTCGAGCCAGCCCAAAGGAGGGCATCTTCAGCTTGGGTATCTTCACCTTCCCATCCCAACCCCAGCCCTTGCCCTCCAGCTCGGCCACCCCTGGCGCTAGTTCTCCCGCCTCAGCATCCCGGCCTCTGACCCCAAACTTGGGCAGGCCAAACCTGGGCCCCTTGACCTTGACATCAGCCCCCGCCACCTCCACCTTGCCTGTGGGCAGATGTGCATCCAGGCTGAGCTGTGGGATGGACAGATCGAGGGCGGGCAGCAGGCCTGCCTCCCCTGCCCCTTTGGACTCAGCCTCAGTCCCCGCTCGGGCCTTGGGGAGTGAGATGGCGAACTTGGACACCTTCAGCTTGGTGGGTCGCCCGGCCCCCTCAGCCTCTGCCTTGGCCACTTTGGGCCCCGAGAGTCCAAACTTGGGCAGGGAGAACTTGGAGGAGGGCTTGACTTTCATCTCCATCACCTCTAGCCGCCCTTCCTCAGCTTCCACCGTGTGCAGCTGCGGAGTAACGATCTCAACAGAGGGCATCCGGAAGGCCGCTTCCCCGACCCCTGCGGCCGCCCCACGGCCCTCTGCCCGCTCCACCTTGCCCGCTTCGGCTGCTGGGACCTGCCCCTCCAGGCTGAGGGCCCGTGGCAGGTCTAGCTCCACGGAGGGCAGTGTGAGAGAGGGGACACCCACACGAGCCTCGGGACCCACCTCTGGCTGCAGACAGGGAAGTGTCACCAGTTTCCCAGAGACCTCAGCCCCTGCCTCGCCTGGCTTGCCTCGTGATGGGGACTCTGCCCTCCCTAGCTTAGGCATGGTCATCTTGGTCATCTTGAAGCCAAATTCCATCCCCTCTGCCCGCTCTGCTTTTAGCTGCATCTCCGGAGCCTTGGGCAGCTTCACCTCGGGCGCCTTCGCAAGATGCACCTCTGGGACCTTGGGCACCTGCATTTCCGGCAGCCGCATCTCCGACACCTTCGGCAGCTGCACCTCTGGGAGGTGGACGTCGGGTACGGCCATCTCGGGCACCTTGGGGAGTTTTATCTCCGGGAGTTTCATCTCGGGGAGCTTCACGTCAGGGACTTTCATCTCCGAGACCTTTGGCAGCTGCACCTCTGGGAGGTGGACATCAGGCACGGCCATCTCAGGCACCTTGGGGAGCTTCATCTCTGAGACCTTCGGCAGCTGCACGTCGGGGAGCCGCACCTCGGGCACGGCCATCTCGGGCACCTTCGGGAGCTTCATCTCGGGGACTTTGGGGAGCTGCACTTCGGGGAGATGCACGTCGGGCACGGCCATCTCAGACACCTTTGGGAGCTTCACCTCGGGGAGCTGCACATCGGGGAGCTGCACGTCGGGCACGGTCATCTCGGGCACCTTTGGGAGCTTCATCTCGGGGACTTTCGGCAGCTGCACTTCAGGGAGCCGCACCTCCGGCACAGCCATCTCCGGCACCTTCGGGAGCTTCATCTCTGACACTTTGGGGAGTCCCACCTCTGGGAGTTGCA